CGTAGTCGTAGTCGTAGTAGTAGTCGTTGTCGTAGTAGTAGTAGTAGTAGTAGCAGCAGGAGTAGTAGTAGTAGTAGTAGCAGCAGCAGCAGTAGTAGCAGCAGTAGTAGTAGTCGTCGTTGTCGTAGTAGTAGTAGTAGTAGTAGTAGTAGTAGTTATAGTAGTTGCAGCGGTAGGACTCGTTGTAGTACTAGTACTAGATGCAAAATACTAGTACTAGTCCGAGTACGACTATGAGGAGTAGGAGTAGGAGTACGAGTACAGGTACTAGTACTAATTCGTACTAGACTAGTGCTAGCAAGTACTAGTACTAGTAGCAGTTGTACTAAGCATCAGTGGCAGGAGGATTGGTATTCACCTAGTGGTGGCGTCGTCGTCGTAAAATTAGCAATCGTAACATCGTAGCATTAACTAGCATAATCACGGTCATTAAAGCGGCGACGGCTAGCAACAGCAGCTTACTCTTAGAGTATCTGGCTGACGCTTTTTCGCACAGTGGCGCAGTAGTATCAGGTCAGAGCAAATTTGCCACAGCTCCAAAATTGGAAAGACATAAGGCAGCAGCAGCTGGTACAGGAATGGTAACCATCCCCATCGGATCGCCAGAACTGCCGTGCAGTTGATCGGCTGGCACATGCTCTGAAATCGAAAAATCGGAGAGAATAACCATAAAATGCCCAAACAAATGCTGGAGATTGCCAATCTTGCATTGAACATCCGAGCCTACACTCAAACTGCTGAACTCAAGCTCACCCGGCTCACCCGAAGAAGGCTCAAACACAAATGTCGTGAATGCTGCTACCTGGTTGACAGCTTTGTCATGGAAAAACGCCAACATCTCCTAGGCCGCGGTCCTTCGCTGCATGTGCCAGATCAAAACAGGTGTTAAAACTGCCTACACGTGGACTCCCTAAGCCCCATCGACGCTTCTTTATCTGCTGGCCACGCCTCTCCTCCCCTCAATCAAGCTACGCCTTGCGAAGTGCAAATCCGGAGCCCTGAACCATCGTGCCCTTCACGCTTCCTCCGGGTGTAATCCGAACCACATGGTGCACTTTCACCACAAATCCGCGCACTTTGCCTGGATAAGTGCAAGGAAAGGACTGTTGTTGGGATGGCCGTCGGTGCCTTTCTTCGGGGGTCCGCTTGTCATCCGAAATCTCGGAGCCCACGCACGGTGCAGACCTCTCCCAACTTCGCCCTCCATTCGGAGGGAGAGGTCGGGACCTTCTCACTCATCATCCTGCTTGGAAGCTCATGGACGGCTATTAGTGGGCTTATAAGTCCCCTAACATGGATCATACGTATAGTTACCCCACTCATACCCCCTCTCATAACTACCCATGAACCTCCAAGCGGAGCTTTGAAGTGACAATTGCGAGCGGACGGGAACAGGGGCTTGAGGCTTTAGGTCTTGGCTTTGCAGGAAGGTTTATTGGGAAGTGCTATCGCTTAAAGCCTGAAGGGTTTGGGGCTGTGTCCTGTAAGGGTGCTCAAGCCTGAACCACTGCTTCCCAAGAGAAAGACCATGAAGCCGAAACTTGGGGCCTTGATACGGCAGCTACACCAGGGCGCTGGGGTATATATACTAGAATCATAGTAGGAGGATACGGTTGCTGTTGCGAATTTCCGAACCCTCCATAACAGTTCGAAATCACCGACCCAGAAAGGTCCAGAGGCCTACTGGTCGGAACTGTCGGATCCATCTGCTTGCCTGAACTTTAGACAAACACCCTCGGACCTAACGTGGCATTCATGCTCCAAGCACCCAAACCCCTAAAGTCTAAGTCCAGATTCCCGTGGCCTCCTTGACCCCAATCAGCCAACCAGACGCTGAAACGCTTGTAAACGTGCCTAACGACTGCTTGGAAAAAAAGGACCTGTCGAGAACGTGCAGCTTGAGTGTTCGTAGTGATCCATCTGTAGGCATAATAACAATGAGCAATGTCCATGACCAATGAGAATGATGGCCGAAACATTAAGTTCGATAAACAAGCAACAATAGCAATGATGACATTAAAGAGCTGACGGTGTCGATACTAGCAACGGCGGTTCAACAATAGGCGCATATAAAATGATTGTTGAGATGCAGTCACCGAAATGATATTGATCATGGTGATGATGATGATGATGATGATGATGCAGCTGATGACACTGATGACAATGACGATCATTATCGTGGTGGTGGTGGTGGTGGTGGTCATGGCGGCGACGGCGGCGGCGGTGGCGATACTGGGAAACCGCGTTGACAACACGACGACTTCTTCAAGTCAATGCTGTCCAGCCTTCAGGGGCTCGACACAGTCCGTGCAGAACCTGTTGGTAAGGACCTGTCTGGACTTGTCGGGGAATCTGCTGGCCCGTTCTAATCTTCCGGTCCATGTCGTCGTTTAGAGCTGAGGCTTGTCACACCAAACTTACACACCCCAAGCCAGAAGCTGCTCTATTACACATTATCAACTTTCTGAGCCAAAACCCTCTGAATCCTGAGCAAAAAAGGGGCTTCTGTCAACCTTCGTGGCAGAAGGCTTTGGTCCGGTCTACACATGTTCTAAACAGCCAAGCATGGGTGACGGGAGTGTAGGGCGGTTTAGGTTTAGGGCTTAGGGTTTAGGGTCATACTTACAGGGTTCAGGGGAGAGTGGTGGAGATTCGGGATTCTGGTGTTTTCGAGGTTTGGGGTTTCGGGGGGAACCAGAACCTCAAGCAGGGCTGGGAAGTACGGTTCATGACAGAAATCCTGCATTACCCCACAAAAAGGAATAGACCATACTTCCCATAGTTTAGGGTCCTCAAGGTAGTGCAGGATTTATATCATCAACAGTGGTAATGGCTTATGACTGTGGCCGAATAGCTGCGGTTCTATTCCCCCCCAAAGTACACGCACCTCAGATCACCACCCTTTAAAACCCCCCTTGTAAGCCCAAGCCCTCAATCCCTGAATCCTTTGAAACCATGTAAGTGTCCCTAATCCTCAACCCCGTAAGTAAAACCCAAAAGCCCTAAACCCTGTAAGCCCACACAACCACAAAACCCTATAACCCGTTTTGCCCGAAACCCCTGCTTCCCCTAGACCGAAAAGCTGCCTTCAGGGAGTGCGCCACAGACATGCACTTGTGCTCGCAGCCGGCGAGATAGCCTTGGCCCGCGGAAAGAGAGGGTGTTCACTGAAGGAGTTGAGGCTCTATCGACGGATCCGTTCCCTAATCCGTTGTGAAACCGTCTAGAACCCTGTAGAACCTCATGCAGACAGATAGATTTAAATCTTTCGGGCCCAGACACGCAGACTTGTGCTAGCGAAGATCCGAGAGTTTGCAAAACGAGTAAGTTCCAGGGTTTGGACATTTGTTGCTGCTTTTCTCTGAAGCCAAAGAGCTTCTTTCACTGACATGACACAAGGAAAAACAGCCCGGTTGCTGGTGACGGCCCTGTCAGACTGGTTAGGGCTAAGGCTTCTGTGACAGCCCGTTCCGGCACTGCGTAGCCTCACGAAACGCTCGACAACAAGTGGCTCCGCTTGCTGCTTTCATCGCAAAGAAATGCAATACATGACATTTCGGAGCAAACTTCCCGAACCGCTTGAAAGGAAACCCTTAAGAGGACCCTGACAGGAACCACTGAAAAGGAGCCCGTTAAAAGAAACCCCCTGAACGACGCCTTAGAAGGAACCCCCTTAAAAGGCATCCCCTCAAAAGGAACTAAACCCTAAACCCTAAACATTCTGAAAGGCACACGCCGCCGAGTGGCCCAAGGAGCTGCAGAGCCCCGAGCAGTACTCGTCGGCGGTGCGGCAAGGGACCGGGTCGTGCTGGGACTTGCCGACCTGAGAGGGTTTACGGGTCTAGGGCTTAGGGGTTTAAGGGGTTTAGGGGTTTAGGGTTTAGGGTTCAGGGGTTCAGGGGTCCAGAGTTATCAGGGCTTAGCATGGTTTAGGGGTGGGGGTTCGGTGTCGTAGGATGGTTTAAGGTTTAGGTGCGTAGGATAGCTTTACGCTTTAGGGTTTGGGGGTTTAGGGTTTAAGGGTTTAGGGGCAGTTTCGGGTTTAGGGAACTAGGGGGTTTAGATGTCCAAAGCTTAGGGGCCCTCAGGGGCCCACGTGTGAGCTCATGCGGGTCTAGGATTTGGGGAGCTTTGGAGTTTCCAATACCTTATTTAGGGGCCCTTGTGATAGGGATCCTATTCCTTGAGGTTTCGACATTAGGCCCCCATTGTTGTTTGAAACTCCCACACAAAGGGAAGGCACGAACCTGAATCCATAAACCTATCCAAAACCCGTGGTCGCGCCTTGCGCTGAAGAAGCGCCACCTCCTCGTCCACCTGGCAGGGTGTCTTGGGTGGTGTGTAGCCACAGGAGGAGTAGTAGCAGGAGCAGCAGCAGCTTGGATGAGGAGGGAGGTAGTGATGCAATAAAAACAGACAAAGGAGGCAGTAGCAGCAGCAATTGAACTAATGGCACCGGCATCAGGCGGAGTAGTCGTCGTCGAGGTGCCATGGGTCGTGGCTTTGTACTTTGGGTTTTCTGCTCTTTGGGGGGTTGGGGGTTGTAGGGTGGCACCAGTGTTACTGCTGAGAGCAATACTACCCCTGCTATCACCGCTGGGCCTGGCAGAACTCGCCCGCCCCGCACCAGCCCTTGGTGAAGTCCAGGAACTTCTCGGCGTCGCTGGCGCAGTGCTGCAAGCAGCGGGCCTTGTGATTGTCCCCAATGTAGGTGATGTTGCAAACCTCGTCGCAAAGTTGAACGGTCCCACATCCTTCCTGGAAGGGCTTCCGGCAGACGCAGTGCATGTCGAAGAAGTGCTTCATGTTGCAGGCCACTGCCTCTTCCGTGTCATACTCGCAGCTTTCACCGATCACCTTGTTGTCGATGGCATCCACACACACGGAGTTCCGTGCCTCGCAGAAGTCGTTGCACGACGACTTCTTGCCGAGCACGGCGTAGGCCACGCAATTCTGACCGCCATCCTCCAGGACTCTTCGGGGGGTATCCCTATTTGAAGGACGCTGTTGCTTTGGGTCTATATTATTGATTGCGGTACTTATTTTCTAAAGCCCCTATTGGACGCAAGTTTCATGACAGTCAAGGAGGGTGAGGTCTTCCTCGTAAAGTCTTCCCTCATGTTGTAACACTCCCAAGAGACAGACTGTGCCGAGACCAGTCCTCGAGCGCTTCAACCAGGGACCCCTCCGTGCACAGCTTCTCCTTCAGACTTACGACTTCAAGCGACCCAAAAGCTTCGAGCTCATAGTGGAGTACGAAGATGGTCACGTTTTGAGGCTTCGGGGCGGCATTTTGAAGCAAGAGGTTCTTACCGTGGACTTCGCGGATCCTCCATGATGCTGCTGTGATGTAGCCTGGGATTACATGACCTGTTGACCCCGATCCACACAGCTACTACATCCGATCTCAATATCGTCAATGTCATCAGCGCCACCACCACCCCCTGCACCAGCATCACAGTACCGCTCAACGTCGTCATGTTCAGCATCATCAACAACAAGAACATCCTCGTCACAATCACCAATTCCCATCCCCACCATCAGCGCTGCCGGCATGATACTGTTGATGATGCAAATCCTGCATTACCTTAAGGACCCTAAACCGTGGGAATTATGGTATACTCCTTATTATGGTAGTGCAGGATTTTGATCATCAACCGTAACAGTCATCAGCACCGTCGTCGGACGAAGTAGAACAGCGAGTCAGTTTGCCCAGTCGCCCCGGGGTTGGCGAAGGGCAGAAGGGAGTCGCAACCGGGAGTGGTGGTGGTCGTGGTCTCTGTGCCTTGGCTTTGGGCCAAATTTCAGTGAAACCAAAGCACCTAAGCACAAGTTTGTGAAGGCAATGTCCTGGGAAGGGGTCGGATTCAATACTTGATGTACTCATGCCTTGCTAGCTCTGCTGTACGGGTGTGTGATTCAGGGTCCGGGGCCAAAGCTCCTGGAGAATGTGCAACACAAATCGACTGAGACGGGTTTGGATTGAAAGATCTTTGGAGAGCTGACAGCTTCAGCACCTCCGCAGTTCGCAAATTTTTGGCAGCCGAGCGAACCTGCTTGTAGGACAGATTCGAGTTGGACAGTGAGGCCCAGAATAAATCAACCCAACACGAAAAGCTCAGGGAAGCATTCCAGTACTTGTTTCTTGAACATAGTATACGGCATCGAAGAACCAAGCAACCGAGCGAACTCTGAAGTCACAAGCCTGAAGCTGAGACACACGAAAAGTAGCATGTCACCTGGTCGGGCAGTGGTCCGGAAAAATCGGGCCACCCCAAACCCTAAACCCTAAACCCTAAATTAGGCAAGCTTCAGACACAATGGAGATCCATGAAGCCAGTGCTCTGGCAATTGACCTCCTCCGCCTTGTCATAGAAACCTCGCGCAGGCAATGTGCCGCACATGGTAGATTTATTTCTGCTCTACCCTGCGGTCAGAAAGAAGCCATGCTTCTCGTGTTGGTGTGATGGCTAATGGCTCTGTAATCGTAAAATGTCTTACAAGACTGACTGTCTCCCCTTGAACTGCTAGCCTTTACGATCTTGGTTTGTGCGGTAGACTTACAAATCGGATCGTTTGAAAAGGATCAGGCAGGCTTGTGGACACGTAATTTCGAAGCCGCTGAATGCAGCTACCGATTGGCGCTACCATCACTACTTGTGGCCAGTGCCGCATCGATTGCACGTGCGAGTCCGACTCTCGCCACCTCTCGCCGCTCGCACTTTGGATGCCACATCGCTCGAGGCTGGTCGTCGGCGTGCTCTTGAAATCACCGAGACTTTCGAAACTTTGGAGTCTTCAGGATCCGAGACCGCAGTCTGCTGTTCCCGATCTGTGGAACTCTGTCGTCCAATGCCGTGAGTGTTGGAGGTTGCAAATTGCCGCCCATCGTTATGTATCTTCGCTTGGTCTTGGAGACGTCTCGTCTGACTGAAGTGTCATCACGAGTGAGTCTTAAGTCTCCGCCCAAAAACTATGGTCTGATGTGGGGGACCGGAGCATCCAGGCCCAAAACTTATGACGCCCGTAGCACAGGAGTTGGGGACGAGTGCATCCAGGCCCAAGTCATAAGGTGCAGTACACTTCAGGCTCCTCGCACTGTGAGGTTGCGGTGGTTAGCTGCACCGTAGCTGAGGTCGCATCTGTAGCAGCTGTAGCTGCGGCGGCTCAGACTTGATTCTAAGCCTCTAAGCCACATCACTGCAGCCACTCCCTGTCGCGTTGGCAGTTTTGCAAGTGTGCCGCTGTCTTGTGCGCGCATTGTCATTGCTGCACCGGTTGACACTCACGTGGGTCATTCCTACGGCGATTGCTTCACACGATTTTGCAAGTCTTCGACCACTGAAACCTTTCAACCTGCAGCCACATTTGGAGCCTTCACAGCCGCTGCCGATATCGGTGTTGTCCACGGCATCCACGCAAGTCGCACCCTTGCCTGGGTGGCTTGTTGTTTATTAAGGTTGTAAGGATTGGGGTCCTCGGATTGCGGTTGAGCCTGGAATGAAGCTTTCCTGCTTGCCTGCAAATACGCTTGAGGCAGTGCGTCTCCTTCGCTCAGAACCCGGAGTTATTATGCCCATTTCGAATCTTAGCCCCATCTTTATGCGCATCTCTCTCACGATCCTTGGCAAGAGAACCACCGGCAATGCCACAAGCGCTCGGCTTTGCACACAGTTTTGGCCAAAGCCAATGCTCAAGGCTCACACTTGCGCAGGTCTGCGGGGCTTCTTGGGCGCAGTCTCGTGCTTCAGATTGAAGGAGGTGTCTGCGCGAAGGAACGGAATGGTCTTGCCATGCCACCTTCGCACCACTCGTCGCAGGTGCTCCTCCTGCGATGTCAACGATTGCGGCATGTGTCAATGTGGGTTCTGCAAGTAGCAAAGATCGATTGTGACGGTCACGACGACTGCGACTACACGGATGTTGATGAAAATGATGGTGGCAATGATGGCGATGATGATCAGGATGATGATGGTGGTGGTGGTGGTGGCGGTGGTGGTGGTGATGCTTGTCTGTGCGATATGGAAGATAACTATGAAGAGGCCACTGATAAAAATTGACAGCATTGATAATCAATGTTGGTGACGATGATGATCATCCGATGATGATGACGTTGCTACTATGTTGTGACTTGCTCAGGAACCGAGCGCCTCTGCTGCAAAACTGCACCCGATCCACCCCCTCGACGATGCCCTAAAGCTAAATGGTAAACACTGGCAACGACAGCGCTCTTGTACAGCCGGGCGAGGGCAACGCAATTCTTGCCGCCGTCCTGCGACAGGCCAATGAGCAACGAGGACATTCTGTTTGTCACCATTAGTGGTTCGGTCCTTATCATGGCTTGTTTGAGCAGAGTTTAGCTACCTGTGCTCCTTCAGTGTGTGGTAACCGTGAACCGTAGGTGCTTTGGCATTGCGTGGTGTTCGTAGCAAAATGTGCAGGAATGTTTGTTGTCTAAGATCCGCACCACTGCCTGTCAAGGCACGGACTCTATTCTTGATGTTTGTCAAGGTTCTGATTACATTGTGTATATTGACCTTCCTCTCGTTGTGACAGTGCCGCTATCGCATGAGCAGGCAGATCGCAGCTTGTCCGGGCGAGCTTGCCTTTCTTTTGACGAAGGGCTCGATGCAATGCCATGTTGCATTTTCTTTATCATGACCTTGTCGCAGGCAATAGCAAAGTAGTCATGTTCGTCGTCGTAACAGAGGCAGCAATGGCTGGACATGCAAATCCATGCGTACAACAAAAACATGTGCGTGTATGTATATATATATATACACTAACACACACACACACACCCATACACAATCTTACAGGCAAGAAGTCGTCACCTGGATGGGATTTAGAGATCTGGGTGGGATGGGGCAACAAACCAAGAAACAGGGGCCCCCTGGTCCGACTCGCCTTCAGCTCCTGCGTGAAGTAGCCCTTGGTGCACTCCTTTTCGTTCTTCCCGGTCAGAGGGAGCCTGAGGTGGACGGAGTCGAAAGTGCTTGCTCCAAGGCTTCAAAAGCGAGGTTCTCCAGTAACTCCTCGCTGATATTGCTAGCACCTCAATGTTTTTGATCCATAGCTTGCTTCATGCTACGTCTGACGCAAGGGTGTTGCGATACTTTCGAATCGACGTTGCGCATCCCAGACCATGGATACACCATGATCTTATTTCTATGGGGGTCATCGTCTACCCGATGTTGCCGAGTCAGCTCGAGAAGGCCTGTTTGTGCACACCCGCAGTCCTTCTGCCGAGGCTTTCTGAAGTCACAAACAAGAGTAACAAGGCGTGTGGCGTGGAGTAGACGCCGTTCATTGTCGGGCAGTAGAACAACTGTTGTTTGCAGGATTCAATCACAGAAGTCGCCTTCGGTTTGTGAGATTGACCTCCTGAAGTGCCGGAGTCAGCTACACGATTCCCTCACGACAAAAGCTCACTTCGACATGCACATGAGCCGCATGGTACGCCGGGACACACGTGTTGAAACTTGAGATTGGGATGTGGCATGCATTTAACTATCTACTGACGACAGCACACAAGCTCTGCTTTGCGATCACTGCATTGCAGGCATCCCCACTCCCGTCAATTGTCGGCCCCATGCGCCGCGAGTTGTATTTGAGGGTTGGAGATCTGCAACGTCGACTGACTTCTAGATTTCGGTCTTCGCCGCCCTGCTTCTCTTTCTCTGTTGCAATCTGGAATTACGCTAAAACCTGCGGGATCCAGGAACCCGCTGACAACCAACTCTCCTCTAAGTTTTGCGTCTTCGTCCCAAGCTCCGCAGCTGCAAAGCTTCGCGGCCAGGTCGCAGGTACTCGCAATCGTTTTTTGGCGGCTCCTCCACCTCCACTTCGCAAATGCAGTGCACGTCATAGTAGTTGCCTTGCTGAGAGGCAACGCGTGACATGTCGATCGCATGATATAAACCCAGCCTCAAGAACTACAGACAAGAGTGCAGGTGTGCCCCAATAAACCTGATCCAGAAATTACATGTCAGCGGGAATCTACAGTCAACAGCTTGGAGCGAACATTAGGGAGCCCCGAAGGATCACGAAACATTGAAACGTACTTCGGCTTCAAGGGGCTTACATCACCAGTGTCAGCACCATCTCCATCAGCAACATGAGTTATCATGATCATGAACGTCATCGAATCGAGAGGATCATCGTCGAACGATTCCCCGCAAGCACTTGGACCAAGTCATCGCCATGACCCCTCCCGTTATGATGAGCATGACCCCCGCCAACACCATCACGACCGCCATGACTATCATCACCATCATCATCAGCACCACCATCACCATCACCGTCTCATGCCTCATCAACACACTGAACGTCCCAGAGCCACCGCAGCATTAAACAATAGAGGGGAATAACTACCGGTAGTCCAAAACCATATTCTAACTCTTAAGGCCCCTGTACTTGGAGGTTGATGGGTAACTATAGCTATAATCCATACAGTATTAGGGGACTTATAGCCCCACTTATGACTACCCTAAGCCTTAACGCTGAACCCTACAGAACCCTTAAAGGAACCATACTTATAATTACAACTACCCATGAACCTCCAAGTATTATCCTGAATTGGAAGCAGCCCAGCTTTCTTTCATCAGAGCTGCTGGTCTCACAGTCTACAGGGCTGTTGAAGTTGTACCTGAGTGGCACCGTTTCTTGACGGGTCGTCATATTAATATCAGGATCCCTGTAAGGTTTAGTTTAGAGTGTAGGCTTGCAGACTGGAATCCCGATGATCATCCTTATTAAAGGAGTTAGGATCCTACTGAATCCTCATTAAGGATTTGGGACCCCTTTAAGTTAGGGTACTTCTTCAACCCTCGATCAGAAGATGAAAATGCCGTGTGAATCCTTGCTAAGGGAATTAACCTCTCGCCTTTTCAATCCTTCCTGAGGGAATGCGGACCCTCTGTCGAGTCCTACTTAGGGGAATGTTGGGATCCCATGTAGAATGCACATTAAGCAGCCAGGCTCCTAGGGTTCTTGCGATCCATCGTTTTGAGATCGGGAGTGGAGGAGGCTGCCGCACCTTTTCGGGATGATGAAGCTTAGCAGGGTCTTGGGATGGCGAGTACAGGATGCTCACGCTTTCCTCGTTGAAATGAAGCAGCCCTACAAGCCTACACCCTAAGCCCCAGGCCATCGCCCAACACTTCACGAAAGGCCAAAAGGTCTAAACCGAAAGCCATCTTGGGCCAAGGTACTGGCATGGCTTCCTCACACCTTGGCGATCCGGTCTGATGCATGGAGGCTAGAACACACATTCTTCCACGGCTCAAAGGTCGACACGAAGAGCCGATTACTGAGCTTACGGCCCCAAAGTGGCGGGCCTCCTTGATACTCTTGTATCAACTGCCGGAAAAAGTCACGGAGAATCTACGAATTCAGGTGCTCTGTGTAGTTTCATTTCCTCGCCACCCCTACAGAAGGCCAGGGCCCGCTTTTCACACGAAAACTCATCCTGGAACTAGGAGCCAACAGGAGGAAGACTCGGGCTTGAAGCTCGGGGTCTCGGCCTGAATCGCTGATTGAAATACCATATTAATATTAATATTATTATTATTATTATTGTTATTATTATTAGTATATTATTATTATATTATATATATGTATGTATAATATTATGATATTTGTAATATTTTATTTCTTTATAATCATGTTTAAACCATTTCTTTAAAAGCTTGAGGGTCTGAGGCTCGAGGGCCCAGGGCACGCTGAAGCTTCAGGCTTCATCAGGGCCTTGGGGTCTTTGGGTTCAGGGTCAAGGGTATG